TATTTATTGTCAGCATATATACACTTACTTAATACGATTCACTGCCTTTATCCACTTTCGTCGACGTTCTAATAAATACGGTTTTGATGGAAACGAATAAAATTTTATATTTAACGCAGGTTCTCTATACATATAATCTGTTTCAAATAATAAAACAAGGATTTCCAACACGTATTGGCCATTCCCATTACATATATAAAAACACTCACTATCAGTATCAACAGTGGAAAAATATTATCAAATCTCAGAAAACGAACAAGGCAACAATTTTATTGCAGTTTCAATATGAAACATGTAGTTTAGAAAACTTATCACAGATACATATCGAGTTCATAAGCATGAATTGTAGATTGAGGTTTTTGTACCTAATAATTAGAAAGGAGAAAATGGTTTCTTTCCTCTCACTGTACACTTTCTAAAGCTTTATAAATTCATGAATGATTTGAATAATTTACCGAAATATCATTGACACTTTTTTTGGGTAATTGTCACCTTCCACAATCTGAAAAAATATAAAAATTATAATGGTGAACATCGGGTGGAATGGAATAGGACAAGAAAGATTACCAATGAGCCTCATTCTAAGAGACGTAAGCTAAAAGAATCAGCGGATATTCTCATGTCTGGANTAAATTATCTCATACATAGGTCTATCAGACTCACTGACAGTCACAATAAATCCAAGGAACTAGACGAACTCAAATCCACTCTTCGCCAAAACGATGTTCTTGCATCGCAAATCCAAAAATCCATCCAACTTCAGCAAACCTTTATCCCATTTCCCAAACAGCCCGATGAATAGACGGACCACTCAAAAGCTTTTCTTTGTTTTATTCATGGAGTTAGCAGCAAAGTGAGCCAAATTCTGAAGAAAATTGTTATAAAAACAGTAAACACAGCCAACAATCGAATTTCAATTTTTATACCAACACATAAAGGCACGAGGCACATGTGACACTTGCTCTAGAATCTTCGTCGTCCAAACTAATGGAAGAGTCTCCACCAGAGCCTATGAACATGAGCTTGCAGTCCCTAATTCAGATCCAGCCTCTTCCCTGTTCAAATAGCATCGTAAAACAGGAACAGAATAAGCTTCGAACACCCCAAAAACATTGCCAGGATTATCCGCAAAGCTGTTGAAAATGAAAAACGTCTCAACTACCTTAACAAAGGAGATGATTCACAAAAATTATCTCATTCATGGAGATCATCACTGTCACACAGTACATCACACAACACTGCACACCTCGCTTCTTCAAGTTACACCCTCGTTCCCACTACCAACTCTACCCTCGCTTCCACTGACGGTTCACCCCTCCATTCGTTCAGGAACAAATTCCAAACCAGAGGCTGTGGAACCACAATCGACGCTTGGTATCAGGCAGATTAAGACACTTGCGGGGACCATTGACGAGACCTGGGGAGTAGGGATATTGTGACTACGACGTTAAGTCACAAATACTTTAAAGCGTGTCACTACCTGGGAAGTAGGCAAATTGAGACCTCAATGTCATACCTCGTAGAAAATGACTTCAAAGTCGAAGCCGAAACGTTGAACAACTGAAAAAACACCAGTCGTAGTTCAAACCTGTTTTCAGATTATCAGTTTCTGGCCTACTCGTTTATGAGATGTAGTTTTGTAATTTTGTTGAAAGCACAATACTGGGTTTTCCAGAAGTATTTTCTGTACCTGGAAGGCGAATACAGCAGATCATATAAACTATATTCAAGCCCAAGCCGGAGCAGGAGGGTCCCGCGGCGAACCAAGCTTCCGAGCTTTTTTAAATCATGGGAGGGTTCTGACCTTTTTTTATCCCCTAGCAGTCGATTCATAAATAACCCATGTTTAGTCATAGTATACGTCAAGTATCTATGTGCAATCAGAGGGTATAGCTCCCTTTTCAACCCCTTAAGGTTTGATTTTTGCCATATTCAGATATTACATGAATTTCACTAGTTCGGACATCCATTGTCTACTATATAAAATGATTTGAAATCCCTGAAACAACTAAAAAAGAATAATTAAAAATGAATAGCTGAAAATAAGAATTATATTAAGCAAAATAAACCTGAAATGAAATAATAGTGAAATAAA